GCCCCTCACAGGACAGGCAGCCTGTCCTTTGGAGCCAGACACTGACTTCTGCTCTCTAGCTGTAAAAGTCTTAGATAGCATTTTGTTCCAAACAAGGCTGTTTGCGCCGCATTGAGAATCTGTTGTTTAGTGTGGCCACCACTGATTAGCTTAGTAGACCTGGATAACGTGCTGCTTTACCTGCCACTTTAATGGTAAGGACATGGCTTCTTTCCTTAAGCCTCATGAACTAATCTCTGTTAGCTTCAGACTTTTCCTCGGTAGCTTCCTTACCTCTCTCAGCCTTCATAAAATTGAAGAAGTAGGGCCTTGCTCTGGATTAGGCTTTGGCTTCAGGGACTGTTGTAGCTGGTTTGATCTTCTGTCCAGCCCTGTTGTCAGTGATAAGGCTATTTCACGTTCTTCATGTGTTCAGTGGAGCAGCAGTTTTTAAGAAAGGTTTTATTTATTAGAGAGAGAGCAAACACACGAGTTGGGGGAGGGAGAGGGAGAAGCAGGCTTCCTGCTGAGCAGGGAGCCCGACACAGGGCTTGATTGCAGGACTCTGGGACATGACCTGAGCCGGAGGCAGATGCTTAACTGACTGAGCCACCCAGGCGCCCCAGGGGAGTAGCATTTTTAATTTCCTTCGAGAATTTTTCTTTGCATTCACAATTTGGCTGGGTGGCAAAAGAGACCTAGCTTTTGGCCTGTCTTGGCTTTTGACATGCCTGCTTCACTAAACCCAATCATTTCTGATTTAAAGTGAGACACAGGAATCTTCCTTTCACTTGGAGGCCATTGTAGGGTTATTAGTTGGCCTAATTTCAGCATTGTTTTGTCTCAGGGAACAGGGAGGTCAGGAACGGCACTGGTTAGTGGTGCAGTCGGAAGACACACAGCATTTACATGTGCCATCTTATACGGGCACAGTTCATGGTGCCTCAAAACAATTAACGGTAGTAACATCACAGAGCACCGTAACATAATGCAGAAGTTTAAAATACTGTTGAGAACTAAACTGTGACACAGACACAAGGTGAGCCAATGGTGTTGGAAATAATGGTGCCAGTAGACTTGCTCAAGCTGCCACAAACCTTCAATTTGTAAAAAATGCAGTCCCTGCAAAGTGCAGTAAAACAAAGTATGCCTCTATTGTTAGATAATGAAGAAAGCAGGTTGCCATTGTCTGTCCTGGGAGTCGGCATTTTAATATAGGCACAAAAAAATAAGGAATGGAAGAAAAAGGTTGAACTTAAAATATACAGGTAAAACAGAGACCATGTATAAAAAAACCTACAACTAATATCACGCTTAATGGTATGACAATAAATGCTTTTTTCCTAAAATCAGTAATAGGGTAAGGATGTCCTTTCTCACTTCTGTTCAACACTGTGCTGGATTCCTGGCTACTTCACTGAAAAAAGAACAAGCATATGCATTGGGAAGGAAGAAGCAAAACTGACTGTATAAACAGAGTACAACATTTATCAAGTTCCCCGTCCGATGAGGGCATGGGCCATGGTGCCCCAAGACCGTGACAGCAGTAGTGTCCCAGACCACCACAACTGTAATACTGACCGAGACACAGAGTGGAACAGTGCTGTGGAAAATACTGTGCCCAAAGACTTGCTCAGCACAGAGTCGCCACACACTTGTGGCAAAGATGATCTCTCTGTAGAAAATCCCAAAGAACTGACAAGCTCCTAGAACCAACTGAATCTTCGGTGGCAAGAAGCAAGGTCAGTATACAAAAGAAAATTCTACTCTTGTATATCAGCAAGGACTAACTGGAACTTTAAAAAAATGTACTAAATTTATAGTAGCACTAAAAAAAATAAAAGGAATACTTGGTATAAATCTATGTATAGGACCTATATCTGAGAACTAAAGCATAAAATACTTAGAGAAGATCTAATGAGATATACTGTAGTCAAGGATTAGGGAATTTTTTTTTTAAAGATTTTTTTATATGAGAGAGACGGAGAGAGCACAAGCAGAGGGGAGAGGGAGAGGGACAAGCAGACTCCTCGCTGAATGGGAAGCCTGACGCAGGGCTCAATCCCTGGACCCCAAGATCAGGACCTGAGCAAAAGTAAGACACTTAACCAACTGAGCCACCCAGATACCCCTCAGTATTCTTAATATACTGTTAAATTCTCCCATTTTGTTCAACACAACCCAAATCAAAGTCCTAACAAGCTTCTGTGTGTAGACGCTATTGACAAGCTGATTCTAAAATTTGCATGGAAAGGCAAAGGACCTAAAATAGCCAAAACAATTTTTTTTGAAAAGAACAGCCTTAGATGATTGATATTATGTGATTTCAAGGCTTAGTCTAAAGGAACAGTAATCAGAACTATGGGTATTAGTAAAAGGACTGATACCTAGGTCAGTGGAACAGAAAGAGTCCAGAAATATACCCACATGAATAGAGTCAGCTGAGTTTGAACAAAGGTGCAAAGGCAACTTAGTGGAGAGAGAATCATCTTTTCAACAAATGGTGCTGGGAAGTGCACATCCATACGCAACAAAATGAACCTTGACACACCTGACACCTTATTAAAAAACTCAAAATGGATCATAGAACTAAATGTAAAATATAAAACTGTAACAATTCTGGAAGAAAATACAGAGGAGTTCTGCATTTTAGGTTTGAAAATATTAATTTTTAGATCATGGCATCAAAAGTGCAATCCATCAAAGGAAAAAGGTTTTATAAAAGCTGAACTTTATAAAAACTGAAAATGTTTTCTCTGTGAAAGTAAGAAAATGAAAAGATAATTATAGACTGGGAGAAAATATTTACAAATCATGTATCATAAAGAACTTGTATCCAGAATAAAGAATTCTAAAATCTCTAAAAAAAAATAAATCACCCAAGCTTTAAAAAAATTGGACAAATTGGGGCACCTGGGTGGCTCAGTCAGTTAAGCATCTGCCTTCGGCTCAGATCACATTGGGGTCCTGGGATTGAGCTCCACGTCGGGATCCCTGCTCAGTGGGGAGTCTGCTTCTCCCTCCTCCCTGCCCCCTCTCATGCTCGCTCACTGTCTCTCAAAATCTTTAAAAAAAAAAAGACAAATTATATGAATAGGTATTGTCACATTTTTTATTATGTTAGTGACCATACAGTACATCACTAGTTTTTGACGTAGTGTTCTATGATTCATTGTTTGTGTATAACACCCAGTGCTCCACGCAATACGTGCCCTCCTTAATACCCATCACCGGGCTTGTCACATATCTATTCATAGTGTTGAACAGTAACTAATACATTAGGAAAAGATGCTCCACATTAGTAATGTAAATTAAAACCAGGATGATCTATCACTCTTCACCTATTAGAATAGCTTAATTCGGGGTGCCTGGATGGCTCAGTCAGTTTAGCATCTGCTTTCAGCTCAGGTCATGATCCCAGGGCCCTGGGATCAAGCCCCACATCGGGATCCCTGCTCAGCGAGTCTGTTTCTCCCTCTCCTTCCCTGCCTGCTTGTGCTCGCTTGCTCCCCCTTTGTCTCTCAAATAAATAAAATCTTTTACAAAAAATAGAATAGCCTAATTTAAAAAGCTGACAGTACCAAGTACTGATGGGGCTGCAGAGCAACAGAAACTCATATTTACTGCTGGTGAGAGTGCAAGAACAATAAAACCCCTTTGGAAAACAGTTTGGAATTTCTTACAAAGTTAAACTGATGCTTACCTTATGACCCAGCAATTGCACTCCGAGGTATTCCACCAAATGAACTGAAAACAAAACCTATGTTTATAGCAGCTTCACTTATAATTGCCAAAGACTGGAAACAACCCAGATTCCTACAACAGAGGAGGAAAAAACAGACCCAACTATACAATGGAGTACTACTCAGCAATAAGAAGGGAATGAACTTGAGTCATGCAGCAACATGGATGAACCTTCTGTGCATTTTTCTATGTGTTAAGAAGCCAGACCCAAAAGGCGATGTATTATATGCTTCCATTTACAGGATTCTGAAAAAGGCAAAACTAGTACAGAAAACAGATCAGTGGTTGGGAATGGGGAAAGGGGTCAACTATGAAGGGGTCATGCCAAGGAATTTTTAGGTGTTGAGATGGTCTTCTATGGCACTGTGGTGGTGTATTCGTGAGTATGCACTCATCAAAACCCAAAGAACTGTACACTCAAGAGTGACTCTGATTGTATGCACATTAAAATAAGGTCAACCAGGATTTTGGAGGGATTCCTGTTTAGAATGTAGGCTGTGATAAATGAACTCACTGGAAGGGGTGGATAAGAAAGGAGCTGACCTTGTAACTTCAAAAAATGGTTTCTGACAGGATCCTGTCAGGCTAAACACAAAAAGAACTTACAAAAATTGCTAAATTTCACGGTTTAGCAGCTCTCAAAGTACACTAATGAGAAGCATGTTTAAGTCAGAAAAAGCAGTTAAAAATGAGCGTCAGAATTAACCTTGTGGAGCTGACTGGTGCCCGAGGTCACCTTCACATCTAGACACTGTATTTGTGCACACACAGGGTATAGACACTAGATCCCCTAGCTCCGGCCACCGAGAGGGCCACCCATGCTCCTTGCATAACTGTCCGATGCTAGAACTGGGGTGGGGGAATATGAAAGCACCTGGAGAATTGTGTACTGCCAGAGAGTAAGGAAGTTCTAAAGAAAAAAGAAATGGGAAAAAAAAAAAATGGAAGAATGGGAGCAGGTCAAAAGGACACGAGCCAACCATCCACACTGATCTGAACAAATGAGTGAATCAGGGACTGGTGTTCCTTACAGAAGAATCCCAAGTCACAGATGGACAAGAAATGAGGGAAACACAGACTATCATCGTGAGAACACCGCAGCCAACACCCACTGACTGACGAGTACGAGACTGAGTGGGCACCATGCTCAACAGAAAGTTTATCAGCAGAGCCTCCAAGTATCTCTCCCACGATACTTATTAATCACCGTCATAGTTTTCACAGCTGCTCCCAGTCTCTGGTCCTTCTCCCTCCAAGAGGTGAAGCTTATTATAAGCTAGGCTTAGTGATCCGGCTTCTAACAGAGCACAGAAAGTGAGAAATAGCAACTGGCGAACGCTGCCTTCGACAGACAACCAGGGGAGTAGGTCACACTGAAATGTGATGACAAGGGCACATCAGCACTGAGGGGTCGTTCCGAAAACCCGAGACCTTAGTCTGACCACGAGAAAACACCAGACAAACCCAAATCATGAGATGTTTACACAATACCTACCCAGTATTCCTCGAAAGTGTCAAAAGTCAGCAAAGACAAGGAAAGATGGAGACTCTGTCAGAGATCGCAAGAGACTGAGGAGACCTGACCACCTAATGCAATGCAGCATCCTGGAAGAGAACAAGAAATCTCAGTATAGGTCAGCTTGGTAGTCGCAGTTTAGTGAATGGCACCGTTACCAATGTTAATTTCCTAGTTTTGCTAAGTGTCCACGGTTCTGTAAGATCCTACTACAGGGATCTGGGTGAAGGACATAGGCCAACTGCGCTATCTTTGCAACTCTTCTGCAAAACAAAAACTATTTTAATAAAGCCAAAGAAGAAAAAAATACATACTGGTAACAGATTCTGGAATTTAAATATTATTAAAAGGGACCCAGACATGACTGAAGTTTACTGCTGGATGGGGATAAATGGTCACCATTAAATACTGAAGTAATCTCAATATCAAACAAAAACACCCTCAGAAGAACAGAAATAGTAAATCAGACTTCCTGGGCTCCATTCTCACCCTTGGTGATGATGTGCAAGAATAATTCACCGTCTTTGGGTTGATACTGACATTTGTCAGAATATAGACTATCTCTAACATTATTTGAACTCTCCGAGCAAAGGTAGTGTATGAAAATTTTCCAAAAACTTCATATGAATGATAATGGCCTATTCCATGGCTTTAAAAGGAAATTAAAACCTATTATCCGAGCATCCTGAATTCTACAGAGAAGCTAGCTCAACAGCCTGTCAAGCAGGTTTCCTCCCTGGGAATAAGTAGATATAAAGCAGCAAACAGAGGCTAATGACTCCTCTCCATGCAGGACCTTTGCTTCCACCCCACTGTGCCTCCTGGAGACGTAAGGGTGTGGTGTTCACAGGTGACAACTGCTGTAATTCTGCCTTACTCCCATCGAAGTCCACATTTCTGACAATACTGGTTTCCAGGAAAGAAATTCTCTTCTTAAAATACCTTGTTTTATTTCCACAATTGCTTAAAATATTCAAGAAACAATGCAATTTAGCTAAAAATATTTATTCAAGGGGACAACATATAGTAATATATTTAAGGCACGTGAAAAAGTTTTGGCATTAAGTTGGCAAGAAAAAGAAATACAAATTATCCCGGTAAATTTCAGAATCGATTTCATTAGTACACATCGTTTTAAACAAGGTTTCAAGAGCACCGATAATTGATCTCAGATAAGGCACAAAGTTCATGACTCGGTGTCCCCATGCCTGAGCGGCTGCTGTCGCATATATTCCCAAATGAGCAGAGCCCCACTCACGTGGACGTTAAGTGAGCGGATAATGCCCTGCTGAGGAATTTCCACACAAACATCCAATTGTTGGATCAGATTTGCTGGAATTCCCTCACGTTCATTTCTGATGAAGAAAAATGGAAGAAGAAAGGTTAGTTTTCTTGTAATAAGCACACTTTTTTTCCTCAGAAATCCTGAATGTCACTGAAGAGTCAGATTAACAAAATAAAGTGAAGTCTGTGGCACCAGGGAAATAAACAAATAACACAGGTTCACCTGATCATCCAAACAGGTGAAATAAAACAAAAACTAGGGGTCTTTCCATAAACGTTACAAGTCAAAACTCCTGATGTGGGTATAACATCAGGAGTCTTGGTGAACTGTAAAATTTCCAAAAGCATTTTCTAGACTGAGACTCAAAGGGATCTTCTTACCCCAACAAGAGCAGAGATCTCTCCGGAAAGCTATACTGGGTCAGGTCTATACTCTTGGCAGTCTGTTCCACACCAATGACGGTGTAACCTTCTGCTTTTTTCTGTTGCAGAAAATCGATGAGCTGAGGTGGTTTTACCTTAAAGTGAGTTTAAAAAGAGCAGAATAATAAATTATTCATTTACAGCCTTGGAGTAAAATCAGAGTTTCAAAAAAACTTCCGTGAGACTGTCTTTTTATAAGGAAAAGGAAATATACTCTATTAAAAAAACAAAAAACAAAAAAACTCCCCCAACATCAAATATATTTATAACAAGTATTCCTGAGGGCGCCTGGGTGGCTCAGTTGGTTAAGCGACTGCCTTCAGCTCAGGTCATGATCCTGGAGTCCCGGGATCGAGTCCCGCATCGGGCTCCC